TAACTTGGCAAAACGTGTTTTTTTCCTGATTTAACATTATAAAGTACCGTGGATGTTGAAAAAAAATCATTGTACAGGCGTATACTTATCCAACAGTATTAATTCTGTGATTATGTGTAAATAAAAACTAATCGTTTTGGATTAATAAAATATTATTGTTTATCTTGTTTATGCAGTTAGTCACGAAAAGTGATCGAAACTCGACTGTTTACTATTCTCTTTAAATTATCCAAGAGAAATATATTACTATGCACTTTAATTCATATGTGTTAGCCTATGTGAATCAATTATATCTTTTGCTCAAGCTGTAATGGTCAGTTAATGTAAAACTGAACATCTTAAAGCAGATTTTGATGTTTTTTTTATGTTATTGACAGTGATAAATTCTGATTTAAATGAATGGGTAACAATATTTGTTGGTTAAGTCTTGTTGTTCTTGTTTAACAAAGGTTAGTGAGATCATTTTGCAGAACATCACGACCAAAGAAGTCAATGGCACACTCTTTTGAACGTGAATAGGCATGTTATAGTTGTGTGCTAAAAGTCCATTATAAGCTGTAAACTGCTGATACATTTTCAACATAGATTGAGCTTTTCAGACTTTACATTACTAATTGCTTCACAAACAGCTGAAATGGTTTATTGTTATTGGCTATCATCATCATCAAACATTTTTCACAATGGTAGGTTAATCTTCATGGGTACAGAATAATGCATGTGCTTGACCATCTTACAAATCTATGTCTCAGATTCATAAGGCTGTCACTCTGCATGAATCTCCGAATAAATCTTGTGCAACCTTCTGTGTACTGATTATTTACACTATAGGTATTATATGCATTAATTAACTTTGATAGTATTTCAGGATTTGAACTTTTCTTTACGGGAGGTTAACAACAATGTGATATTTCATTATAGATGCATATGAGGAAGCTCGACTCAAACATCCACACGCAACTGTGATTTCTGACTGGTAGACAGATGAGGATGATGATCGCCTGTCATACATCTAAAGACAGAACAGGTTTGTTTGCAATTATTTTAAACACATACTGTCAACATTATGTCATTGATCTATTACAACCTGTGAGTTTTCCCTGGCACTATACTAAAGTGATGTTTTGATTTGTAAATGTATCTGATCAAGGGACAGTATAGACACATCTATACCGTGATGAAGAAAAATTACTTGGAACAAAGAGGCTGGATAAAAGGCAGGTATGAAGATTTCAGAAATCAATGCAGCACCACAAGTACCATCACCATCAATGACTATGGCAGAAATCTTAAGACCACCATCAAGATGCACAGATACTGTACATTCCAGTACACCAGGCGTGTCCAAACTACGGCCCGCGAGGCTTTTTATAAATATCAATAGAATCTGGCCCGCTATACAAAAATGAACATAATTCAATAAATAACCACCGGGTGTCACTATTACATGCATTCAATTAAGCAGCAGTTCTTGTTATGATCTATATATCTATATATCTATCTGTCTATCTGTCTGTCTGTCTGTCTGTCTATCTACACACAGTTGAAGTCTGAATTATTAGCCCCTCATTGATTTATTTCTTCTTTTTTAAATATTTCCCAAATGATGTTTAACAGAGCAAGAACATTTTTACAGTATGTCTGATAATATTTTTTCTTTTGGAGAAAGACTTATGTTTTATTTCGGCTAGAATAAAAAGCGGTTTAAATTTTTTTATGAACCATTTTAAGGTCAAAATTATTAGCCCCTTAAGTCTTCAGAACAAACCATTGTTATAAAATAACTTGCCTAATTACCTTAACTTGACTAGTTAACTTGATTAACCTAGTTAAGCCTTTAAATGTCACTTTAAGCTGTATAGAAGTGTCTTAAAAATATCTAGTCAAATATTATTTACTGTCATCATGGCAAAGATAAAATAAATCAGTTATTAGAAATGAGTTACTAAAACTAATATGTTTAGACATGTGTGGGAAAAAATGTTTAACTCTCCGTTAAACAGAAATTGGGGAAAAAATAAACAGTGGCTAATAATTTAGGGGGGCTAACAATTCTGACTTCAACTGTATGTATATATATATATATATATATATATATATGTATGTGTATATATATATATATATATATATATACACACACACACACACACACTGTCTGTGTGATGTATGTAAAATTTGGCCCGCGACAACGTTTGTTTTTTTGCATCTGGCCCTCGGTACACCTATGAACATTTACAGTCTTTGTTCTAGTGCAGTTTGAGATCAAGACAGAACTTATTGCATCTCGTGATGTCTTTGTAAGAATTGAAGACATCACTAAATTTGTTAAGGTTTAATGCAGCTAGAAAGTAAAGATCAACTAGAGAATATCAGCAGTGTCTAACCCACTGTTGTATTTACAGAGGTTGTATGAGAATAAGCTACAGGTTGATTTATACTAATCTGTTATTTTTCTTTTTTAGCACGACTGACTGAAGTTTTAAAATCATGCAACGTCATAAAGCAGCAGCTGGGCCTGATTCTCACAAAACCAAAACAGACGTGATGAAATTCCAGATGTAAACACATTTGACCTTCCTTTGGCCAATTTGATTTGGAAAAGCTTGAAAATCAACTAAAGGAGCAGCCCGAACAAATGAAGAAACTGGTAAGTTCAAGCTCTTGCTAATTTCAAAGTGTTTTAAGTTTATTTGTTTTTTTTGATAGTTTTTTTACTTCGTAGGTAGCCTACTTTTTTCCTAATTTTTTCTTTTTTTTTACATTAGTACTTGTTCACTACTAATTATCTGTTTATCTTTTAATCACAGATGGAGTGAGGACAAATGTCCATACCACGCCACTGATAAAGAAGTGGAAAAATGCATTACAAGGTAGCTACAACTTGCCCCTGACAGGGATGGAGGAAGAAAGAAGAGAAAGCTAATGTGTCAAATGTCTACATCACTATTTTGTTTTATTTTTTAAACAACATTTTAAGTGTATTAGGATGTTCCCTGATACTTGAACAATTTGTTTCTTTCATTTGCATTTATATATATATATATATATATATATATATATATATATATATATATATATATATATATATATATATATATGTATATGTATATATATGTGTGTGTGTGTGTATATATGTATGGTATGTGTATGTATGTGTGCGCGCCAAATTCTGAAGAAACATCTTGATACATTTTTAATAAACGTAATACAAATAAAGTTATAAATATAAAATTGCACAAGACGTGTATATATATGAAATGTATAATCATCTCACTCATGTCTTGCTGTTTGTGCAATTGATTTTGTTCAAGTTTATTTAAAAAAAAAGTTTGACTTTATACTTCTGCAATTATATATATATATATATATATATATATATATATATATATATATATATATATATATATATATATATTTGTTTGTTTATTATTATTTTAATGTTTTATTAAAAAATGTTTCAAGATGTTTCTTCAGAATTCTGCAGTACTTTTTACAAGTTTGACTTGGATATTTTACGGATTGTCATTGGTATTTTTAAGATGTTTCTTGCTATATCTTAAATTGGTTTCTATATTTGGGTTTATATAAAATTTAGCTGTTTTTTACATATTTTTAATTGAAGTCTGTTGGGAAAACAGGGTTGTTTTAAAAAAAACATCTGTGTTTGTGTGTAATTTTTAGATTTTTTGTTTAAATCTTTCTGTGTCTTTATTGTGTTGTTTATTGTTGTTTTTATATTGATATTCTTGTGCACTACAAAATTATTTATAAAATTTAGTACTATTTTTTTCATGCAATTAATAAACGTTTAACATTTATTTATTTTGTCATTTGTCTGATTATTTTCGTTACAGAATATGTATGCAGTTTGCACTTTATTCAAAGGTTAAACGCAGTGCTTACACTTTGTGTTTACATTATAGCCTGTGTTTGCTGTTATATAAATTCAAATGGTTGTAATACCATATATCAAGTACCAATGTAATACCAAAAGGTTTTATAAGGTGTATAAATACGGAGTCGCGCCAGCTCCGGGCCGCAGCGCACATTACCCTCGCGCCGATTCCGGCGCGGATGCGCAGCTTCGGCTCGCTTACGGCCGCCGCATCTGGCCCGCTTGATTCGGGCCGGAATCGGGCAGTGAGTCCACAGGCATCCGGCCCGAGTCCGGCAGCCGAAGTTGGGCCGAGGGGTTAGTCTCCGGCAGGCGACAATCTTGCCGGAACTGGCCCGAGTGTATTTTGCTATCTGGGTTAATAGATATATTATATGAGAGACTTGCTTTGTTTACCTAATAAAGTGAATCTATTTGGATTTGCATTGTAAACATAAAATAAAAGTAAAAAAAGGTATTATTTTTATTTCCCATATTAAGGTTCTAGTTGGATACTCCCAAAAACATTCTGCAGAAATCCGCAGATGTCTACCCAAATTTTCAGCAGAAATAACAAAAAACATCTACAGATTCCGTCTGGCCCTAGTCTTGACTGCAACAGTAAGTGGCAAAAAAGCTTAACAAAACAGACTTTTATTTTGGCATGGCGTGTGACGTCATCAGGCGGCGCCACGTCAGCGCTGTAATTCAACTGGAGTAAGGTTTGTTTTAAAACGTTTACAGATATAACCCGATTGAAAGTTTTAGTTTTTATATGATGCTAAATTATGTTACTGCTGTTGGAAATATTATTTTAACCCTTTATACAACGTAGTACTAATTTATTCTCAGTAACCGAGGGCTATTTTTTGAATAAAGTAACAGTAAAGTATGTAGTAAGTGTTTTAAAGAAACGTTTTACCTAATTTCTTTTTGTTAATTACTCTTATATAAAGAAACTGTTTAAGTAGTTAAGTGTTAAAGAGAAGTTATTTTGTTTCTTTTCATAATTTTATTTATTTTAAACAGGACATTTTTATTGTTTTGTTCATTTTAAACAGGATAAAGTGTCCAAACACAAAGAAAAAAAACTCCTCCAGAATCGACTGATCTCCACACTGTTATAAAGATGGCATTTATTAAAGAGGAGAGTGAAGATGTGAAGATTGAAGAAACATTCAGAGTCAAACAGGAAGATCCACAGGAACAAACAGGTTGATTTTTATTCTCAGGCCCCTTTTACACTAGTGCACTTTAGTTTTAAAACGATGTCCACACTAGCATTCCACAGAGCGTTTCTAAAAAGCTCTCTGTCCACACCAAAACACTAAAAACCCACATCACCTGACCACACACACACTCTCAGGCAATCGATGCAGCATTTCTACCCAGATGAGAGCTCTGCTCGTCGGACTTGCTCATCAAGCATCTCCCGCAGGATCTAATCTCACTATATTTATTAAACGTGCGATTTCATTCATCTTGTTGTCTTTATCTAACGACATATTCCCCGACTTTGGTCATTGGAATCTATTACTTGTTCTCAGGTAACGTGTTTTGGCTAAGCGCAAAGATAAGTTAATGATTAATGTAACCACGTAGCCTACATTCTGTATATTGACAGATCGATTGCCTTTATTTCCTATATTGTATAAACTTATTGTCTGTTATACTTTTATAATGGCTATTATAGATTATTAAAACTGATATTCAGCAAAAGAGAGGGCATGTTTTGTATTTTCACTGAAATTGAAAAGAGGCAGTTGTTATCGGCTCCGTTTTGTTATTAATATCCACACAGTGAAGATGACGCTCATAAATGCAGCACAACGTCTCAGCATTTCTGCTGTCTGTTAAGTTGCTAATATTAAAATGAAAATAGGCAGTTCCTTAAATCATGTTTACATTTTATTGTTGAGAAAGTGAAACAACGTAGCCAGGATGATGTGAATGAAGTTATAAAGTACACTGTTCCCTTTGAAGATTTACCCGTGTCCTCGGTATAGTCTGTTTTCCATATCAAACTGAGGAGGGGGAGACTGCAGCCTTGATCAAACTTGAGAAGTCTGAACTTACAAGAAGAGGATGCGGTACTAAACTGTGTGTTAGGCTACTTAATATTGAGGAAAAGCCCCAATCAGAGAGGCGAATGTCGGCAGCCCCGCCTCCGTTTTTAGATGTCTCTGTTTTCCCCATCCACACTGGAGAAGCAGCGTTTCAGAATGAAAACGGCCTCTTCAGCGTTTCCAAAACGCTCGTTTTCGGCACTCGAAAACTCCGGCGTAGTGTGGCAGATGGCGTAACCGTAGCAAAACTTATGCATTTTAAAACGAAAATGCATTAGTGTAAATGGGGCCTCAAAGACCAACTCAGTCATCTGATCCTCATTCAGATATATTTTATTAATAAGAACACTAAATTTAATCCATCTTGCAGCCCTGAGTGTGCTGCCTAGTTCTCCTAAACGCACAAAAGCACTCATTGAAAGACAGGAATATGTTTGCATATGTCACGTTGATCACAATTCCCCTTTTTTCATCAACTTCTTCATGGGTTTAAACTTGTTTCTAGTAGTTGTTACTAATTCTCACAGATAGTATCTGAATTAGAATTACATCATTATTATAATAACTATTGACCAGGGCTATTGTGTTTAAACAGGGTTTCCTTGGGGTCTTAAAAAGTCTTAAATTTACTGAAATGTTGTGCTGTAGGTCTTAAATCTTTTATAAACAAGTCTTCATTTTTCCTTTGGTCTTTAATTAAGGTTCATGTTTTTCTACCCAATCTGGCCAAAACCCATACAATCACCATCAATCCAACCCAATAAAAATTTTTATCTTATTATTCAAAAAGGTCATTTTAACTTGTTTTAAATTATTTATTATAATGCTTTAATTATTTTCCTTACAATAATATTTGTTTAAACGTGCTTCATGTATTTACTGCTAAGGACATTGACCTGGACAGACCTGTGTTTTGCACAGGTTTAGTTTATTATAGTTTTTAAAACTTTTAAAACATTTGTCCATTTGTTTTTTTATTTTAAATAAAGTTTATTTTGGAAAAAAAGTTTGTTGATACAAGTATTGCTTGCTTGTTATTACACAAAATTTTAAATCTTGCTAGAAATATCTAAAATATATACATAAAAAAATTAATATTCATTTACTATTGTATTACTAAAATTATTATATTTTTGATAGGGCAAATAAAAATCTTTTCCATCTGGGCCATTTAACACGGTATTTAAAATCATTTGAAAGAAATATCTAAAACATTTTAATTTTATTATTCATTTATTATTGTATTATTAAATGTATTAAATTATATTATTTTTTTGATAGAGCAAATAAAATCTTTTTCATCTGGGCCAAATAATTGTTATAAAACATTGTACAGTATTTTAAACTATATGATGTTGCTGTGGGATGACGCGTGACAAACCGAACAAATTATAGTGGAACAAAAATGTTTAGCATTGCACTGACTACAACTGGCCAACAAGCTAGTCTAAAAATGACTTTTTCTGCTTAAGAAATGGATTACAGCATGCTGATGATATGCAAACATTTGAGTGTAAAATTCGTCAGTATTGACCATATTCTTCACGAACCAGCAGGCTGCGCCATTGGAGTCTTTTTACTTGAGTTTTTTTTTTTTAAGAATTAATTTATCCATCATAAAAACAGTGTTATGCTGCTTAGGCATGAGACAATAACTGCTTTCAAGGTATGCCGTTTGGAAAAATCAAAGTTTTAAAACGGCCAATATTTTCTTCTGTACCATTCCTACAGTATATCTAAGTTTTTTTTTTTTTTTTTTTTTCACGACAACAGTATCTCCAGCAGATAAAAGATGTCATTTTTAATCGTAAAGAAATGTGTTTTTGAAACTAATGAAGACAGCAGAAGTCAATGATTCATTTAAATTATTTAGCCTGACAAAAAAAGAAAAAAGACTCAAAAGAAAATATATTGTAATATAAAGTTTTTGTTTTTTACCCAGACATTCATTCATTCATTCATATTCTTGTCGGCTTAGTCCCTTTATTAATCCAGGGTCGCCACAGCGGAATGAACCACCAACTTATCCAGCAAGTTTTTATGCAGCGGATGCCATTCCAGCCGCAACCCATCTCTGGAAAACATCCACACACATTCACTCAAACACTATGGACAATTTAGTCTACCCAATTCACCTGTACCACATGTCTTGGGACTGTGGGGGAAACCGGAGCACCCAGAGGAAACCCTAGCAAATGCAGGGAGAACATGCAAACTCCACACAGAAACACTAACGGAGCCGAGGCTCGACCCAGCGACCTTCTTGCTGTGAGGCGACAGCACTACCTACTGCGCCACTGCCTCGCCACCCAGACATTTAAAAATAATATATTTTAGAGCAGTAATCTCAGTACCTCAAAACCGTGATATTTTTATTCAAGCTTATCATACCGTCAGAATCTTATACTGGCCCATGCCTAATGCTGCTTGATGTTGAAAAGTTATATTTTCTTATTTTCTTATTTTTCTTTGTATGTATAGTCATGAACATGTATAGCCGTTTATTATTCCATGTCATTTCTCCAATAGGCAACTGAATTGTAAGTTTTAAATCAATAGCAAATGAGATCAGGTCACTATGACATGATTGAGAATTTTTGTATGTTGCTGTTTGTCGTTGTACTACGTCTATTCTGAGAGCTGATGCTGAGTATTCTTAGGAATTTTCACACTTGAAATTGTTAACCCTGGGTCATTCTAACCCTGGATAAACAGAATCCTGGGTTACCTGTAAATACGTTTCACACTGCTCATGCTATGCCTGGGGTTATAAAATAATCCTGGGTGTTCATTAACAGACAGTTCACATTCGCAAACACCGGGTTAACAATATTATTTGTATATTTACATTGTCACTGTCCCTGATTGGACAAACAGCAGATAACCTTTTTTTTAAATGGCATTTCTGCATTTTGTCAGGTATATAAAATGTCATCATGTAGGTCTTCAGCTAAGCCTCAGGACATGCACAAAGGCAAGAAAACAAAAACAAAAGTACAAATGAATGAATACCAGTAGCAAAGTATGTCATCTTCTCATCACTTCAATTTACAGCAAACATGGCATTAAGCATTTGCACAAGTTCATTCATTCATTTACCTTCGGCTTACTCCGTTTATTCATCAGGGGTCGCCACAGTGGAATGAACCACCAACTTATCAAGCATATGCTTTAAACAGCGGATGCCTGTCCAGCTGCAAACCAGTACCGGAAAACATTTGCATAAGTTATATACAATAATGCAAACTCACAAATATAAGCTGAATTATGCGCACTTGCTATGAACATGCAGGATTTGTCTCAATCAGGTTTTCCAAGAAAGAGATGCACATGAGGGAACACAACATAAGTAATCTAGAGCATTTGATCATTTGCATTTACAGCCACAGGCACAAAAAGAGCTTGGTTTTTCTCTGACCTCCAAAATGAAATATTTTGCAAGGTATATGATCTGATTTTGAGCTGAAACGTCAGACACATTCTAGGAACACTAAAGACTTACTTTACATCTTGTAAAAAAGGTTCATAATAGGAACTCTTTAAAGGTATTTCTGACCCAAAAATGTAAATAGCCTCACCATTGACTTTCCATTGTGTGGTATTAAACCTTGATGAGTTTCCTGATTCTGTTGAACACAAAATAAGATATTGTGATAAAAACGCTGGCTTACTTTGTGTTCCAGAAGAAAGGAAATGTTTAAAAGCACATGATGGAGAGTAAATAGTAGAGTCCCTTTAATATTTGGGGTAAATATCCATATCATGCTTACCACTTTGTGCTTTCATACTAAAGTTAACTTTTTTTGTTCTTTTTTTAAAGACCTGATGGTGCTGAAAGAAGAGACTCATCAATGGAATGAAATGGAAGAAAAAAAACACCAAGAAATAACAACTGATGAAAAACCCACACTCACTAAAAAGACTTCATCACGCGGAAGACCTCGGAAATCCAAATCTGGGTGTAATTTCAGCTGTAAACGGTGTAGAAAGAGTTTCAGTCAAAGGTCAAACCTTGATGTTCACATGAGAGTTCACACAGGGGAGAAACCTTACACCTGCGAACAGTGTGGGAAAAGCTTCTATACTATAGGAAACTTAACAGTGCACATGAGAATTCACACTGGAGAGAGGCCGTATGCATGCCAAAAGTGTGGGAAAAGCTTCTATACTACAGGAAACTTGGCAGCGCACATGAGAATTCACACTGGGGAGGAGCCTTACTCTTGCCTCCAGTGTGGAAAGAGTTATAAGCAAAATGGCAACCTTGAAGTCCACATGAGAACTCACACTGGAGAGAGAAGCTTTATTTGCACACAGTGTGGGAAAGGTTTTTCTCAAAAACAAAACCTTACCATCCACATGAGGATTCACACTGGAGAGAAACCTTACACATGCACAGAGTGTGGTAAAAGTTTCAGATGTAAAAACACACTCGATCACCACATGATAAGTCACACTGGAGAGAAGCCGTTTGCATGTGCTCATTGTGGAAAGAGCTTCACAACCAAAGCTAGGCTCATGAATCACACCAATGGTCACACTGGAACCACATGTGATCATTGTGGAAAGAGTCTCACATGCAAAGACTCCATAAAGCAACACATGAAGATTCACTCAGGCGAGCGTTTTCGATGCAGTGAGTGTGGAAAGGGCTTTAAACATAAAAGAAGCCTCGTCAATCATATGAAGCTTCACAATGGAGAGAAAAAATGAGGCCTTGTCAAGCGGAGCTTAAGGCTCTCACCCGGGATAGCATGGAATAGCATCTCGGGACAAGTGTGAACTCTTGAATACATCTCAAGTTACTGGAATGAAACCTTTTGAACCTGAAGATTTAAACTCAATAACTGAAGAGGGGTGAAGATGTATCAGGTTGTGAGAGTTTCCACTTCTTCTTTGCAAGAAAGCAAAATAACTCTATATGTGTTTTAAGTTATTATGAACTGAGAACCAAATTTGTGCACATTGCACACTGCAATCAAATGGTCGGCTCTGAAAAGAGAATTAGAAAGATTAGGGAGGAGAAAATGTTTGGGGAGATGCAGAGAAACCGTCCTACACCCTTAGATTGTGTTTTTGATTATTCACATTGTTTGATTTTCACTCCCTTGAACAAACACCGATTTGCCTCCAATTTTGGGCTTTTGTCTGCAGTTTCACAATACTTGTTGGTGAATAAAAATCCACCTAAACTCGGCCGGTGTGAACTTGCAATGACAGTGAGAGACTGATGCAGACTCCATAAAGCCCTGATCAGACTACACAATGCCATTTGCCTGTTACAACAGATCAGATTTGTGTCAGATTATGAGATTTTGACTTGATTAAATCTTGATGAGTTGTGGGTAACAAAAGAAGACTTTGGTTTCAGAACACTACACATTTATTTTGATGGACTGATTTTAGAAAATAAAAACGTTTTCCTGTATTCAGACAATTAAACTTTCTGTAGACAACTAGTTTCCCTTAAAGAAATGTTCATGTGAAAACTCCCACATAACTACAAATAAATTGGTGTATGGGAAACCCAGTGTCTCAATTGTGAATGAGAACATGACTGATTTGTTAGCTTACATGCTAATTCCAGGACTTAACAGACTACTGAAGGACTTCAGCTATCTGTAAATTCCAATTATTATTAATATGCAATACATATTGTACTGCTCATGTGGACTAATATATTATATTGTATGCTGTCTGCATATATATATATATATATATATATATATATATATATATATATATATATATATATATATATATACTATTACTAACCAGCAATGATAGGTGAGCAAAATAAAAATTGAAAGAGGATACTTTTATTTGACCTTTCATGAGTCTAATAATCTCAAAGTCACACTTTAAAAGAAGGTCCAAAAACCTGCAGTTATAAATGAAGAATGTTTTGCAAAGCATAAAAGGTTGTTAACCAGGTAATGCTGTGTACAATTTGTTTTAGTTACACCAAATTTAACTTGTTTATTGTAAAAAGGGTTTACATGGATATTGACATGAGACATTCTGTATTATGCACTATGTATTATGAGTCATGAGTAGGGCCAGACAGAATCTGTCGACGTTTTTTGCTATTTCTGCAAAGAATTTTGATAAAAATCTGTTAATTTCTGCCAAAATATTTTGGGAGTATCATAACTAAATCCTAAATATGTGAAACAAAGAATAATATCTTTTAAACTTTTATTTAATGTTTAAAATGCAAATCCAATTAGATTCACATTATCTGGTAAACAAAGCAAGTCTCTCATATAATATTTCTACTAAATAGAATTAATGATGGGCTAAAAATCTGCAGAAAATCTGTGGGATTCTGCGCGTGACATTATGTATTATAAGTTATGTACATGAGTATATGCAGTTGTAGAAAACATGCTCAGTGTTTTCAATAACTTTCACAAAATTGGCAAGTTCTCCTCAGTATCAACTTTTAATCTCAGGAATTATTTTGATGAATACACATGATTAATCATTTTAACTGAAGTTCTTTAATTTTGGGGAGAATTAAAAAAGAAATGCAACTTGTTCTTATTTTTCTAATTTCTGTGAATTAAATTCTTTTAAAATAAACGAGGTCTGAGCTGATTAGGATGAAGCCTTTAAATAAGAATATTCATTTAAAACTTATTATTACATTTTGTATCTCTAAAAATAAAGATGGAAGAGCGAACATTACAGAATAGTGTGAAAGAAAACCTCTGATCAATACTGTGATGTTTTTAGGGATAATATTAATTATTGTTTTAAACTCTTTAGGGTGACAAGCAAAACCCTGTTTAAAGAATGGGTTGAATTATTTTAATTTAGCAAAAAGATTGTCATTTCAAGTAAAAAAAAAGTCAAATGCGATTATAATCTATTTGAACAAGTTTCCGTTTAATTTTGATGAGATGACGAGGAATTTGGACCAGCACCAAAGCCACTCCTTCCACCTGCTCCATCAATAGAATATCCACCTGTTACCTCAGATGCCACTGAACTTTTACTATAGTTCCCACTATGATTTGGCCACAACCAGCACCAGCAGTACCACCAGCTCCACCGGAAACATGTACAAAGATGCTGAAGCACTGGGAGCCAATGGACAATGTACCACATGTCCCCTCAAGCTACTTAATACAGTGATCTTTTTTTTTTTTTTTTTTAGCTCTGCACAGTTGCCAGACATTCAGAATCGCTCCCCAGCAAACATCAGAAACAGGTTGGTTCAACAAAGGTTTCCACCCATGTAAAAAAAAAAAAATGTTGCACAACAAATAGTAGTAATAACTATAATATACAGCCACAGTAAAAAGTTTGGAATACTTTATAATAAGCTTATTCTGCTCACTAAAATGTTATTGCATTTTTAAATAACTGTTATTTTATTAAATGTTTAAAATATAATTTATTCACATTTAAGCCTGAATTGTACGCATGATTAGTCTTCAGTGTGATGATTATGGAGGACCAAGAGTCTGAGGTTTCCACAGCGGGATGAACCGCCAACTTATCCAGCAAATTTTTACACAGCAGATGACCTTCCAGCCGCAACCCATCTCTGGAAAACACACACACACACACACATGCTCTCTCTCTTTCACACATGCACACACACTCACACACAGGTATGCACGCATATGTCACACACATGCACATAAGCTCTCTCTCACACACACTCTCTTTCTCACACACACATGCACGTGCACGGACATGCTTATGGTTATTATTGTTCTGTATTTTGATGTACAAATGATCTATAGAAATGTCATTGAGCTACAGTGTATAGAATTAAAAGTCAGGGAGTAGTCAGTTATTTATATATGCATTATTTATCTAACAATTGTCAACAGAACAGTAATGAAAATAGAGTAGAAAATGTAAAATTATTAAATTAGTTATTAATAATACAATATTAACAATATAAATAAACAATGTAAATAAAATGTTAAAGACAAACAGAAACTGAAACAAAGTGGACTTAAAAGTCAAGGACCAGTCATTTATAAATGCAATATTTATTTAACATTGGTCAACAAAACAGTAATGAACATGGAATAAAAAATCTAAACAATTAAATAAGTTAAATATTAACAGAAAAAAATACAAAAATTAACAAATTAAATAAAATGTTGAATAAATTTAGAAACCAACATGTGAAATAGAATAAATTGAACTATTATGGTGCACCGTTGTGGAGGATAGTAGCATCTGTGTGCAAGTCCAATATAAACTAAGGATAGCTGATGTTGTGCTGCATCTTCTTTTGTTTAAAAGTAACTGTGTAGTTACAAATACAGGGAAAATCTGTTTGCTAATTATACATACATGAACACATTAGTGCATTGAATGACTACGTTTTTGTGAGCTTAACTAGGTTTTTGGGAACTAAGCATTGTATCAGTTGATAAAATATGGTTATTTTCTGTAAATTAAAACAGTTATATAAAACTTCCGTATTTTTACAGAAAATTCCTGGCAACCACTGCCGGTATTTTTCAGTAAATTTAAAGGATTTTTTTTAGCAGTGTAAATAAATTAAAGTTCATTATAAATGTTGCAAAATTTAATAAACAACATTACCTTACCTTTATGTAACTAGCTTAAGTTCACTCAAATGAATATTCTTTCTTTAAGGTAACTTAACTCGGTTACGTGGAACCTGTTGACATAAAAAAGTTAAAGCCAACATATAATTTTTTTGAGTGCAAGGTCCTCTGTCCACGAGACTGCAATGGGCATTTCTCAATCTGAAAAAAATCATGAAAAATAGAATAAATAATTTTAACTCAATGACTCCTTTAATAAAGCACAAAATAGCTCTGTAAATTAATTTAACACTGTTTCTAGAACGTGTGTAATATTTATCTAATATGTAATTGTACAGTTTGTATCTCCAAAAAACAAAAAGAAAAAGATAGAGGTAAAGTTGGTTTTATATTCGCACATTCGTTCATTTAGAAGTCTCTATATTGTTTACCATATTACTTTGAATATTCGATCGGAATTAGCATGCAAGTATGATTTGAAAACAATATCAACACTTATCTAATTCACTGTGAACAATGCTGTACTTTGATAATCATTAATCATTGTCTGCTAATATGATTTTCCTATTTAGAATTTGCAAAGAATTTTTTTCTGAAATGATATTATTAAGGAGAATGTCTGAATATCCAAATATAAAACCAACTTTACCTCTATAAGAAAAAAAAATAAGAGGAACTGGACAGGAACATTTCAGGCTTTAAAACCACATGCTGTATTGTACATTCATAATCCATTCCCCCACCTTTTAAAATCTCATAAACGGTCAAACTATAGTAAATTATTCGACGTAAATCTCAAAATACATGCATTTTTAAAACACATTATTATTTAAAAACAAGTATGACATGTTTTACAGATACTGTACTGAATGTACTGAAGCCTAACAAGTTAAGCAAATTTCAACAAACATTATATCATGTAAATGAAATACACACCCTTTGATAAATCTCATGCCACTTTTTTATTGAGGAGCTGGCCTGTTCCTGTTGCCCTCATCTGATGGCCAAACTCCTGTGCTGGCAAACTTTTCCAGACGTGAAATCCAGTCAGCGTCTGACATGGCTTTGTGGAATTTTTCAGACATTTTTTCTCCTATAAATTAAATGGTTTTAGATTAAAGTATCCAAATTTGAAATACAACACACTAAAACATTAATATGTGCAATTATGTAGATTTTCTTATCTTTTTTAAGAAATCACTATCAGAAAAAAAGTCCTGAACTTTAAACAAAACGATGCTGTGCTCTGTCGAATGATGCTGTTTGTCGAAAATCACTGAAGGTCAAGGAACTTTTTTGACCTCTGACCCACCTCCAGATGACCCTGTTACTCCTTCGTGTACCTTCGGCTCAGTTCGGAAAATTGATTGACATCTGACTAACCTGTTTGACTGCACACCTAGCGGTGAATCTTGGAACGGTTCCTTCCCCAGCTTTACCATTGGCCCTCATCTTCAACATTTGTGAAATATTGATGGACAATCCTTCAGCAGCTGGCATTGCTAATCCATTGTGCTCTTTAAATCCCATCCTCGTCGCTAATATGTCCTGGCATTCGAGAGAGCCTGGTGCTTCTGTGGAACTTGTTTTACTCTCATTCTCTTAGCGTTTGTAGGATGTTGTTGCAAAATTTTATTACGAAGTGGCCAAGTCCATCGAACCCCATCCTTGTCGTTCAAGTGCTTTGGCGTTTGAAAGAGGCCGGTGCTCAGGCCCGGATTGGCTAATCGGGAGGACCGGGAGAATTCCCGGTGGGCCGGTCCGTTTTTTGGCCGCGAGGGCCGGTGTCCCTAGCTCCAGAATCTGTTGCTCTCAGCAGTCACACTTTTTAAATTAATTTATTTACTTACTTGACTACTGTCTTCTTATTCATTATTTTACCGCAGCTCTGCTCTTTTTATATATGACCAGCCTACAGGTTAATGATGATAATACTCAGATGAGTCAGTCCTTCATATACAACTGTTGTGGTCCAGTGGTTAG